TTGTAATGACTCTGTCCTTAGCATAAATGGAGGGGCTTACAAGGCTATTACTTTCCATAAACCCATTTAGAGGGAGAAGGTTACCTGTTCAGCACATTTTGCCACTTGTGTGACCTATTTATATTCCATTGTATTTTCCACAAGTGTAAATGTACAAAAGGCAAACATCTGCCCATCCAAACAAAGACAGTAAGACAGAGCTGTCCTGTGATACCTCAGGATACTCCTCAGCAAAACCTATAGTAGGAGGTTCAGAGACAAGTAAGGAGAAGGACACCCCTGCTCACAGGACACTTGCTTTCCTCTCCTGTGGTCATACCAGAACATCACAGCCTGTGTCTATGCTAAGATGTCTTTCCGTGCATGGAAAAAACAATGCCAAGGAATCTTTTAAGATAACAGTCTCACCTACAATTGCAGTCATGAGCTTAATGAAGATAGCTTTTACAAATCAAGTGAAGAGCTCTGGACACAATCCAAAAGAGGATATTGAGAAGCAAATTACTGCACTGACAATAAATTGGGTTCCTACGTCCAAATATTAAAGTATGTAATTGTATTGAATTTTGTAGCTATCTACCTCTGTAACAGCCAAGAAAGATGAAGGGACTCTGGACAAATTTATAGTATTGCTTTACAGACTGTATCTGGAACTCCCATTTTCCACATTTACATCCTTACCATTGACATTCACAGTCCCAAATCCTTCCATGAAATTACTAACCAATATAACGCAATTGCAGTTAGTATAAGCAGTGTAACGCACTCTATACAAGTTTAGCTACAATACAAAACATATTACATTTAATAATATGTACCTGATTCTTTTAAACTTATCTAGTCATCTTAAATGTACAGCGTTAGTCAACTACCTAAATTTAAAAAACAATACTACCCATGACACAAATAGTAGTACTTGGATTATGACAGGCACTGAAATTTGTGATCCAGGTTTCCAGGTTCTTACAGGTAGAGATCAGTGGGGTCAGCCAGACACGGCAAGACTTTGCACAGAGTACAACCACAGGATGAGTAAGCTTTCCTATTCTTAGATGACCTTTTACATCTGTCTATTCCTTCAGGATCTATGTTTTTAAAGACAAATGTCATTCTACTTGAGAGACAAACTATACTTCTCCCTAATAGGAATAATTTGTAGCATCCGCTTGTCACCTTTTTAAGAGCTGCCCATTCAAAGGTATGTTGCAGAGACTCACATTAATTGTATGAAAAAATACATTCTGTAGTAAACTCTGACATATTGCAAATGCTCTAAATGCTTGACATTTTTATGATTATGCTAATATTGTGACATTTGATGTGCTTGTTTTTGAAGAAACATAGTGCAATTAAGTTCTCTGAAAGAAAAACAAAAAGAAACAAATCAATCACTGAGAAGGTATGAAGAATGAAAACTGCTTCTACCAGTTTCAGAAACAAATGCCTGCTAGTCAATGGCAAACAACACGTTTGAACTTGATATTTCAGAAGACTTGTCAGTTTTACTCTGAAAGTAAAGAGCACTGATAGGGTGACTTTCAATTTTTAGCACAAGTACTGGCTTGACTTTCACCTGTTCCCTCCACCTTCAAAGTATATTAGCAGTTGTTGTAAAATTACTCCTTCCATCACTGAGAGAATCAAAAAAAAAACTGGTTCCTCTTAGACAACTTCTAACTATGGATAACCCAGTTATCATGGAACCTTGTTTTTAATTGCATCCCATTATAAACAGATTTCCTGCTTCAGTTATACCCCAACTTAAATTAGGGGAGGAATAAGATCTATAACGATCAATATAAATAATTTTATAATTCCTCTCCCCCACCTACAAACCACGAGATTAACAAGAAGAACCAGAGAACTGAATGAGGCACTACTGGAACAGCACAGTACTTCACAGCAGGAAGGCTAAATGGATCAGTGCTGTGGAGGCAAGAAGAAACACAGAAGAGCACCTTTGGCAAAGGATTCAGGGAACAGATGATCAGCAAAGTACCTGAGGAAGTCAGAGTGAGAAATCCCCAAATGCCTGGAGAATGTGCTATTCAACCCATGGACTACCTTAACATCCGAGTGTGGATAGGGAATTCTGCAGAGCTCTAGCAGAATCTTCAGAAGAGAAAGAGGCAAGTTTCTGATAAATCACAAAAAACCTACATCAGAGATTACTAAAGTCCCACCAACATCTATTCTTAACACTGCAGCAGACACTGGAGAAGAACCAAAAGGGGGAACAAATTGCATATTTTTGGTACAAAGCTACAGGAGACATAAGAAATGGTTACAGCTTGATTACAGCAGTGTTAAGAAGCAAGATCCATCTCCCCTGCCAGGTACTTGAAAGTAATAGCTCACTGAAAATAGTGAAGTAATTTAGTAGCAACTTTGGAAGCAAATTAAAAGAACATTCATAACCTCCAGGACTGTATACATTTAATCTCTTGTTAAAGACAAATACTAGCTAGACTGAGTTTAATAAGGCCAACTTAATGGAGACTTATTATTGATGAAATCAAGAATCATCTTAATTCCCAGAGATCCAATTCCTTACATAATACACAGTCAAGGCAACCATAATAAGCTGCAGAAAGTGACTAAAAAAAGGGGTTTGATAAAAAAAATTGAACCCAGTTAATTATCAGTGAATCCTCAGTTAAGCTCTGAAAATAGAGTTATAAAGAGGAAGAAACTAGTTAACTGTAGGAGAAGTTTCAGATCTTTCCATGAGACATTGCAAGGTAGCAGATTTAAGTTAAAGAATTGGTCTGGAATTCAAGGGGAGAAACAAAAATATTATTCAAAACTAAAAGGAATGAACCAGCATAACACAAAGCCTAAGAAAATAATCCTTTCAGTACACAGGATTAAGGAGTCAGAAACTCCTATAACCTTTTCTGTTCGTAATAAAATATGTACACCTAAACTTTGTTACTGTTCTCAGTATTTGTTTTTTTCAGATACGTGCATGCTCAGATTAATAATGTAGAGCCACTTGACCTACAGAAAGAGCTCCTTATATAATTGGCGTGGTAACAGATGCAGCATTTCTTTAACAGAAGTGACAATTAGTGGGTACCCCTTCTGACACTCATCTAGTATGACATTAACCCTTTCTGAGTTACTGTCCTACACTGTAAAATTAAACCCAAAGCTTGGGACAGCTCAATGCCCCATATATTTCTTTCCTTGGGCTTAATCTCTAACAAACACTTTCTGCTTTTGCTGTCTGCAAAACCTTTGAGAAAGTTAACCCATTGGTCAGTGGTGGTCAGCAGGGAAGAAAAATCTGGAGGCAGTTAGTATTTCTTTCTACTGAACTTAGTTCTTTGAGTAGGTCTGCACCAACATGTAAGCCCAAATACAAACACACTGCTTACCTTCAGGTATGCACTCAGACAGAAAGTTATCCCAAAATCTTAAGCCTTTAAAGATGGCAATTAGCTTTTCAGTACAACTAGTATCTCAGCCACATGTCCTGGAAAGACTAAGACTGATCCAGACCAAACATACTACAGGCGATTTTATCCACCTGGGATCAGCTAATTCCACGCTGTGAATATTTTGGGTGGGCTTCATCTCATCCTATTTTAATCACCTAGAGTGTAGATGTCTTTCTCTGAGCTAGTCAATTTAGGCTTTTTTTAAAGAAGAAGAATAAGCATTTCAAGATGATTCATTTGCCCTATTTTAGTTGATCTACTGTACAATGAGATTGATCACACCTTACATTTTATTAAGTTGACTGATTCAGTCTGTCTGATTTGGCAAATGGAGCATAACTACTGGCAAAGATATTTTGAACATACAATACAACACCTTCTGCTGACAATGGAGACAAGACACATCCAGGTTACTAGAATCAATATATCTAAATTCTTCTTCTCTTAGCACTCCACATATACCCTACAAAGAAGGTGTGAGTCCTCCATTTCATTTCGCTTTCTACCAGCAAACAGGATCTTTGGCTTTCTACATCTTAGCTCCCTTATATTACTATTGTAATGCAGAAGAGTAAAAAGGTATTTTGCTTTACTATTTTCCTCAACCTTTGGGAATCAAAATCAGAAAAGGAAGTGTGTCTAAGGCATTTACTTCTGAATAACTGGATATCTCAGAGTCTACTAGATACAGAAAAGTGTCAAATTCTGAAGCTCGGTTTGAATTAATTTTCCTAGCCAAGTTCTACCAGTAGAAATAAAACAGGATCTCATGTAGTAGAATATGAATCTTTAGGCCCACCATGAACTGTTTTTAAACCCCAAACCCGAATAACATGTTTTTTTTCAAAACCCAAACTCATTATAATTAAATGTAATTACAATCCCCACAGCTTTAAATCAAGGTTTGCTCAGAATGGAAACAACTTCTGCTAAATTAATTTTTTTTTCCCTGTAGGTAGCATGGTAAAAGTCAAACTAAATAAGGGAAGCATATAAAGATAATGAACAAACAAGCTCAAGGATATATATATACATTATATATATATGCATTTTCTTAAGTCAATGGCATTGTAAACACTAATTAATGAAGTAGCCATAATTATTACAGTAAAGTCAAAGAACTAAAATTTAGAATAAGACCATCACTTTCCAAACTGTCTGAGATTTTGGCTACCTCTACGTTTTCATCATCAGGTGTGAAAAGCCAGATCCCCCATTTCAAAGTGCTGAATTCACTACCATGAAACCTACCAACAGCTGGAGTTACCCAACATCTCTGAATATTAGATCCAGGATGCCACACCTTCTTCCAAATTTAGAAACTTCTTTTGACAATATTTGCCAAAGTAGTTTCCTGTTATACTATACAACTCCTCAAACTACCAACAAGGCAGTCCTTAGACCAAAAAGGTCAAACCTCAGTTACATTGAATGCAGAGGGAGTTCTGACACTAATCGCAGTAAGGTAAAAATTAGCTTCTGGTGCAGAAATAAATGGGGTGGGTGTCTGGGTATATGAAGTTATTTGTTGCATTTCTTATATGGACTCATCCTTACCTTTGAGTCATTCTATAATAAATACCACATCATTGCTCAGTTGTACGGAAATGGTGATTAGTAGTTCTGCAAATGTTTTGTTTGGGATTTGCATTTTCTCATCAAAGGATACTTCTCTGTCTTCATTTGCTGTCAGGCTCTTTCAGATGAGACAGTTCAGCACAGAGATGCCTCAACTATATTAGAAAGAGAAAAAAAACGTATTAATCCACAAAAAATGTACAAGTTAAACAGACAGACTCTGAGTTCAGCCACAAGGGCTCAGAAGTGGAGGGAGCGGTGGCAAAATATTTTGGGTTTACTAAATATAATGACTCAAAATTTAAGCTACTGGCAGTTCTTCAAAAAGAAATTCTAGAGACTAAGACAGAATGCAAACCAGCAAGGAATTTTAGCTTCCTCTCCCAATTTCTGACTTTAAAATATTTTTACTTTAAGATATTTTACAATTTAAACTTTGGTGGTTCTGTATAGTTTAAACAGCTGTCAAATACCTGTGCTGTAGACCCTCAGTTATGAGAGAGTGGTTGATAATGGGGAAGGGATAATAGAGTGGGGCCACCATCCGTTTCAGAGCTCCTGAGGTAGTCCTGGTATTTAATAAGTCTCTCCCGCCATGCCAGCATGGTTTAGGAGCTCCAAATTGATTTGAGTTGTGAGGATCTTGTTGAGTAGATAGATAGAAAAGATAAGTCTATCTTGTCTTAGACCATCCAGACAGGGTTTGGTTGGTTGGGTTTAACTTTTTTTTTTTTTTTTTTTTTTAAAGGGGGCGGTGCAGGGACAGGAGAGTTCACCTTCTATATTTTCTTGAGCTTTAAACTAAATCTAAGAAGTTCTGAATTCATTAGGGTACCCAAAACCATAAGACAGTTCTTTGGGTTGAATTGGTTTTGCTAAGGGGAATTTCTCACAGATTTACTGCTGGCTATCACCATAATGCTATGACAGAAATATCCATTTGTAATGCTTTTAAGTCTTATGAAAGACAACAAAACCAATTGCTGCTGCTGTTCTTTCAGCATGACTAAAACTGTAAATCTGCAATAACTCATCATATCCTTTGTATAAACATTTATTTAAACTACTTTTAAATATACATTGTGTAGCCAGTATGATCATTACAGCACTTTGAAATTAATGGACTTTAACTGCCATTAATTCTGAATGGATACCACTGTGAGCGTTATAAATGTGAAGCACACCTTGCAGTTGAGGAACCTGGTGTTCATACAGGACTGAGCCACAGATTCGGGCTATGGGACACTCCTGATGTGAAAAAACTCATTTAGAACTCATTGCTTATTTAGGTATGCAGTATAACATCATTAACAGTAACCATCTGAAAAATGTTGGTTTGCCTTTGTAGAAGCCAAGGCTTCAGTTTTGTGATTTATGACGTATAAAAATTTTTGGAGAATCTAACAATTAAACAAGATTATTGATTTATTCTTTCTGTGAAATGATTGCTCTGGACTGATGACTCTACAGGATGACATCCCATACTCAAAATATAACATAAACAATGGGTGTGCTTTGGTCTTTAAAATGGAGGACAAATTAACACAATGCTGAATATTCTAATACCAGATCTAAGTCTGAGAACACCAGTAAGGGTGTCATCTGGAGCTAACGGAGATGTAAATTTACATTTTAAGGATACCTGTCTATTAGGGATGAGGTGAGCCCAGAAACTCATTCCATGGCACAGATGTGAAGTAATAACATCCTTAGTCACTAAGCTAGGCTAAAACTAGCAGCCCAGCATCCACACACTGCATATTCTTTTGCTTAGTGTTTCCTTTTCCACTTAAGTCTTGGGCAACTATTTTATTTCACACGATAAACAAATGGCTGCTCAAACAACATTCTGTACTGATATAGCCTACATTTGATATCACTGGATCCACTGCTTACAAGTCTAGAAAACAAATACTGCACACATTCAGAACCAGAGAATGGTTGAGGTTGGAAGAGACTTGTGAAGGTCATCCAGTTCAACCCCACTGCTCAAGCAGTGCAACCTACATCCAGTTGCCCAGGATCATGACCAGATGGTTTTTTAATATCTCCAAGAACAGAGACTCCACCAGCTTCCTGGTCCACCTGTGCCAGTGCTCAGTCACCGTCACAAGTGAAAAACTGTTTCCTGATGTTCAGAGGCAACCTCCTATGTTTCAGGTGGTGCCCAATTCCTCCTTGTCTTGTTACTGCGCACCACTGAAAAGAGGCTGGCTCTGTTTTCTTTGCATCTTCCCTGCAGGTATTTACTTACGTGGATAATATCCTTTCTGAACATTCTCTTCCCTAGGCTAAACAGTCCCAGCTCCATCACCTTTCCTCAGAGAAGAGATGCTCAAGTCCCTTAATCATCTTCATGGCCCTTCCCTGGATGCACTCTAGTATGTCCATGTCTCTCTTGTACTGGGGAGACCAGAACTGGACACAGCACTCTAGGAGTGGCCTCATCAGTGCTAAAGGAGAAAGATCACTTGCCTCAACCTGCTGGCAACACCTCTAATACAGCCCAGGATACCTTTTAGCCTTTGTTGCAAGGGCATGTTGCTGTCTCATGATCAACTTGGCATCCACCAGGACGCCCGGGTTCTTTTCTGCAAAGCTTCTTTCCAGCCAGTTAGCCCCCAGTGTATACTGGTGCACGGGGTTGTTCCTCTGCAGGCTGCAGGGCCTAGCACTTCTCTTTGTTGAACTTTATAAGGTTCCTGTCCGTCCATTTCTCCAGCCTCATAAGGTCTCTCTGGATGGCAGCAACACCCTTTGATGTATCAGAAGATAAACTTGTGCTTGAAGTATAAAACTTGGGACAGCTTCCTCATAATTTCTTCCAGGTTCTACAAACACAAGGCCTTGGGACTGGTCTTCAGTTGAACCAGACCTCTCTTTCTCAGGGGAAGTATAGGATACCCAGGTTCACCAGGTACACCCGCCCAGTTCTGTGCTCACTCCAACAGTACAAGGGATAGCTGCATTTTACAGATAACCTCTTAATTAGGCAAATTACATTCCTCATTAGAATGACATCTTTAAGGCACTGAAGTAAAACAGGATTGTGCCTCGCACTAACTTATTGACAGCAGTTTCCGTTCTACCAAAACAAGCCTCATAAAGAGATCCTTTCTCAAATGTGCCAGCAGGTTTTTTAAGAGAAAACAAAAAACAATATTTGAACAGGAAAAAAAAAATGGTAGATTTTTAAGAAAAGTGAGGATTTTTTTTCTGTTAATGAAAAATATTGGAAATATTGAAAAATACTGGTGTCAGAAGGTTCAAGCATTTAAAAATATTATGTTTATTGCCCGAATGAAATTCATTATTAAAAAATGTTATTTGTGGGAACAGATGAAAACCCTTGCCAAATAGTAACATAAAAAATTAAAGCTTTGATTTTTGCTAGCAAACAAAATAAATAATTTGGCTTAATACTCTGAGGCTCACCCCACATCTTCTTTACAGCTTTTCATTAAATTTCATTAATTTATGATCAAATCCTGAGGTATATTTAAATTTACTGACTTCAGGAATGATTCCAACAGCACCAGACTAACGAGAGAATCAGGCCCTAAGAGTTACTTGTATAAATACTGTCACACCTTTACATAGCAACTATTTCCTTTTTTTTTATTATATTTAAGTGGGAGGGATCTTGCAGGCTACATATTCCTCACTCATCACTGCCACTTTGTACAACGTGAGGCTGTGATTGAAATCAATTTTTCACATTTGCCTGTATATTGTAGGCAAAGAACTTGTGGAATACAGTAGTGTGAATGACTGCAATACATCAGTCTGCAAACAGGGCTCCAAAATTAGAAAGATGACCAAATACTCAAAGGAAAGTGTAACTTTACTGTGCCCAAAGAGAAGATTTTATGAGCTCTAGAGGAGACACTATATCAAGACAAATTGAATTCATCCAAAATTTATTTAACAAGGCTGGACTGATATGACTTTTCTACAGCTTCACAGCTGTTAATCATTAAATACATTTTAGACAATTATCTGATATTCATTTTACATGCAATAATATTTGTATTGAAGTTAACATAATTGTACATCTTAAGAACTTTGTTGAAAATGTTCCCTTAGGAAAAAAATTATCTGCAAAGTAACACGATGAGTTGTGTGCCTCATGGGTTAGCCAATTTTGTAAATACACGTGAGGTGAATGCATATCATTATGAAATTATTCTGATGCCATACATACACTTTAGTATGTATAGTAAATATTTTGCCTAGTGTGTTTTGTGAATATCACTGTTTTACTCATTCTAGAGAGGTCAAGAGAGGAAATACAGTTATTTTAGGCTACTATTTTATAGGTATCTTATTATACAGTTATTCTTATTCTTTTTTTAATTTTTTTCTGCACCCCTAAGATCCATCTCTTTATTTCAACTAAACTCCTTCCAGAAAAATTACTTTGGCCCTAATCCTGGAAGTTGATCTTTGTCAACGGACATACACAATATTCCACTGAACTCAGTGGAGCTCAATATGAACATGAGGGTTTTTTGGATTTAGAACGAAGAGCAAAGTAAAATTCAAAGGTTTTCCAAAGGAAGGTCTATGTTTATGTCAACAGTGATTAACTGGCTAGTGGTTAGCCTCAAGTTATGCTAGCCTACTTTCCTAGTGAAATGTAACAGGAATCCAAGAACAACAATAAAAATATCTCAAATTCTCACCAATAATTTTCGTTACTGTAATTATATTAATTTCAGTGACTTTCTGACAATTTTGTTTCTAAAAATATTTCAAAATGAGCTTATGGAAATAGATTTTTTTTTTTTTTAAACACTTTTTCTCCAAATTACCCAATTTTAAGTTACACAGAAAGAAACACTCCTAGCTAACGCTTTGCCTGAAAATTCTGGTTATTCTGGTGAAGAACCTCATTAATCAGAACTCCAGTAATGGTGAATTGCATGTACGTGCTCAGAGATGATTCTTAACAAAATCCTAGCCCAGTTTTAAAGCTTCTTTAAGAAGAAATCTAATAAACCTGTAGCCACAAAAAGCTGAAGTTTTTCAAAGACTTTAACAAGCTGCTTTTAATTTTTTTCTGACTTATTGAAGGAAAGGGAGTCAAGAGGAAAATTCCAATAAAACTGTATGTAAGCCAAAGGTTTGTTTATGTTTGTGTGGATTAGCATTC